ACAGATAAATGTCCTAATATGTGGCTCCACATCAGTATTTATCTGCGGAGTCATTTGTCTGTGTGTGTCCGTATTGTCTGAACACACCACAGAGTCGCGTCACTCACGTGTGTTTGTTTACACCCGCAGACATAGATCCAAACATTGAGATTATATTCTTTTTACGGACAATCGGTTTGAGTCTGGATTAAAAGGACATTTATTAGTGCAGACTTGTGATGTGAGGAGGAGCCTGTATGAGCGGTGAGTGTTGGAAATATGTCGACTTTGAAGCTAGTTTTGGTCATTTGTTATGTGTTAGCTGCTGTAGCTCCTGCACATAAACAGACTGTTTTCTATTGGTCTATTGTAAAGTGCCTATATTGGCCGTATATTTGTTACTGCATTGATATGTAAATGAGCTGTGAATAGACGTGTGAATTATGACATTTGCGCATATAATTAATTACTGCGGCGCGCACGTATTTACGGCTAAAGGCTAATAGCGCTACTTTCTTTACTAGTTATGGGTCCGTCGCGAACGAAATGACTCTTAGATCCGGCTCTTTGAAGGGAACGATGGGAGCCTGATCCTTATTGGGAGCCGTGTTTTCTCTTTTCTCACTTTTTTTCTCTTCACGCCGCGTGCAGACTCGTGGTTTGACAGCGGCAGCGGCTCAAAACGAAACTTTGAGAAATTTGCGTGTACGTAGGATTAAAAAAAAATAAAAATAAAAAAAAACGAGCATATTTGACTGTAGTTTAGCATAAAATAAATAAGTCCCGGTTTAGTCCTTTTTCAGTCCTGGTTTAGACCTGGTTCAATCCTGATTCAGTCCTGCTTTAGACGTGCTTTAGTCCTGCTTGCAGCAAAACAATCTGAAGAGTCGCTTGGGAGCCAAAAGAACCAGCAGCTTTTGGTGAGCCGAGCCAAAAGAGCCGGTTCTCTAAAAAGAACTGGAATACCCATCACTAGTGTCTAGAATGTGATGCAAAAATGCCATTAAGTCAACCTACTGTCTGTAAATATGATGTAAAGAGGCAGAATAACAATAAATGTTGCCTAAATAAACCCAATTTAAAATCCACCAGAGCCAAACCTAAGTTTTTTAAACAATTCAACATTTACAGTGAATTTTTACATCACTAAATATATCGGCGATTATATCGGCTATCGGCAGCACCAACTGCCATTATATCGGTTTCATATCGGCCACAGCAAAATCCATATCGGTCGGGCTCTAGTCATAACTGTAATAAGTGGAAATTAATAAACCAAGGAAACCAAGGACTGTTATTTGTGCAATGTCTAATCCTTCCAGAGTTACTCTCACTGATTGGTGGGGTACATCTTCTCCTGTCAGTTTAGCCCATCCTAATCCAAAAGCAGAGTAAGACTGAGAAGGATTTACACCTAAACATCACTGCTACTGAGTTATTAGAAAAAAATCATTAGCATACCCTCATACTGATCGACAACTACTCTTTCAGAACAAACAGACAACAAAACAAGCATTTCAGACTTTTCATCAGTGCCATTTAAAACAATTTGAAAGCACTGGATCTTAAATAATCTAAATGGAAATACTGTGTAAAATGTAATATTTCAACTGTGTCACATTACCATTTAGTGTCTTATTACATCCAACATTCCCCACACTACCACAAGGGTCATTAATTCAACCATTCAAGAGAGACAGAAAGATTCCACCAGTTGCCCCTGACAACAGATGTGACTGAGTTAAGACATCGTAACAACCACTGAGGCGAGCTGCCCATCGGTCAGAGCCCATTCAAAAGAAAATTGTAAAATGGATCTGTCATGTTTAAATGAACAAATGCAGTAAAAGAATATAGCAAGCTGCTATCATGGTAGGGTTATATAATTAAAATAAATGAATGAAAATAGCAATTTATTCTCTCAAAATACAGTTAACTTATTACAAAGTTGATATGACTGTGTTGTGTTGTGTATAATGCAATTAACTACTAAACAGCTTTGTATGCAGTAAAGTTCAAACATAATGAGATATCCTGGGCCTACATCAGTCAGTAATGAGAACAACCAGGATATCAACTGAACCAATATCATGGGATATCTGATACTGCAAATTTTCCTGGATTGGCACCGATATTCAGTACCAGTACTGTTATCTGTGCAGATGCTGTTGTGAGTACATTAAGGGTACAATAGAAAATGAAAATTAAGCTTTCCTATCTGATAGGACGTTCTGTGTAAAAATTACTGAGTCTCGATCACCATCACAGAACTCAGAATCAATTACGTTCATGAAAGCAGTATGTATACTTTACTTACAGATTAAAGGTGCATTGTGTAACTTTTCTAGTGGAGGGCCCATCAAATGCTATTCTTCATGGAGATGTTATTGCTTTGTCTGGAATGTTTCACAGTATGGTATTAAACCTTTCTATCTCCATGGAGACCAAACCAGATCAAGTTACAGGTCAAATCTGTGGTGAGACAACCCTGCTCACAGTCAGAATCTTCATTTTTCTAGGTATTTAGGAGCAAAAGAAACACCTATAATTGAATAAATGTAAGCTTGAGCTGTTTAATATCATACTGTGGAACATTCCAAGCAGAGCAATGACATATCCATAGAAACAAGAAGGTGATGGATCCCCAACCAAAAAGTTACATATTGCACCTTTAAAACATAATTTCTTATTTTCATGGTTATCAAAAAGCAGCAAAGAAATGATGCAGCCGTCGCTTTGGTCATTGCAAATTAACACTGGTGACATTTATCTCAACGGGATGGATCAGAAAAAGAGCATGAACAACCTTTGATCGCAGTTGTCTGAAGCCTGGCTCATGCTGCTTTGGAAAGACTTAAATATGCTCTGTGCAGCAAGACAAGATTGATCTTAAGCAACCATTTCTCTTATATTGGTATGCATCCGAGAAATGAGCGCATTATGTAAACAGAAACACAGTCAGCCAGAAGGCAAAACAAAAACAATGGCTCTTTTTTTTTTACCCCAACAAACAATACCCCCAACACAACACTGCAGACTGCTTCAAAAAAGATCTTTTTGAAATAGATCTAATAATTGCCCTATGCATTAATAATACACCATCTTAACTACAGCACGACCCACACCAACTTAGGCTTGTTATCTTAACACACAGATCAGTATAAAGGTTTTGGGAGGATGAGCCCTAAACAGGCTGAACAAATGTATTTTTAGGTTTCCAAATCAACTGAACCGGTGTAATCTGCAAGCAAACCTGACATTACAAGCAACTCAAATCTCAAACTATCAAAAAAAATGCAGTTATTTTAATTCTCCTCCATGTTCATGTACATGAAAATGTGATATCATTTCAGATTCCATTTACCAAAACGACAAAGTGATGTGAGACAAGGACTTATCACACCAATGACCATTTTAGTTTAACTGAAGCATATACAGGAAGTTAACATTTTATGTGAAATTGCTTGTCTTGTTGTCTTTAGCTCAGTCCTGCATCAATAATCTATTATGACTTATGACAATATACAAATACATATTTTTTCACTGGTGAACTTAGCCAATATCCTTAACCTGTAACGAAGCTGCATCTGGAGGTGTATTAGCAAACTTAAGATGATCTTTGCTCCCTGTGCCACTCCTGGTTGCCTTTTGTCATGAATGATCAAGTAACCTTGAACAACAAGCCTTCAGTTATGTATAATACATTGGTAAATGATAAATAATAAAATGTGTTTGCAATGGCCTACTTCTGACAAGAAAAAAAGTGCACCAAAATAACATGTAGGACTAATCTCAAATGGACAAGGTAAAGCCCCTGAAGTGGATGCATGTTTCTGAATTCAAACACACTCTTTTTTGCCGTCACCTGTGCATGTGTCCCAATGTACCCTGACAACATTTGTGCATGTGGGAGTCAGCAGGCAGACAACAGGCTTCCATCCCTTTATGGATTCATGCAAATCAAGCAGCAATGCTCAATAATAATGACCACAGTGACCATCTTACACAGTGAGATGTCGCGTTATCTTGTATTCATCTAGACTCACCCCCATTTCACGAAATCTGATACAAGAAAAGTGTAGCAACTTTTTACACTTTGAATGTACAATGTGCAGATCACAAAACAGCACTTTTTACATGCATGTCCAGCCTAAGTACAGGATATATGACTGGGTTTAATGTACATGGAATGTATGGTATTTGCGATTTATTACTCTCTGGGGCTCTATGAAGTGACATCCAACAAAGGGTTTATGCAGACTAGAACAACACCAAAGAAAACAAACTAGATCACAATGATAAAAACACTGAGCGCAGGATCTGGACAAACCTGCCCCACCAGTGCCATTACCCATGGGCACAAAATGTGCTTAGCTAACAGTGGGCAAGAGGTCTGTGATAAAAGTCAACATCATAAAATGTCATGTCATGTCATAGAGACAAACATAAGGAGGACTACTAAAGAAGTGAGAGCCCACAAAAATATGGACGTAGATGGAAAATAATGTCATTCTTTTATGGTATGACAATTTTCTGTAGGTTGCCCTCATAGTATATTGTGCAGAACATATCCTTGACAAAAATGATGACCACATTAGAGTTGCTACAGAAGACAGAAGTAGTTGATACAGGGGCCTTTCATACTGTTGATATGCATTTTAAATAAAATCAGAAGATGAGTTCAAGTCTTTCAGATAGAAAATGTATCTCTTACTGTGAGTAAACCAAAACAAGCAGAGACTCGTTCACCAAATACACCAGCCCAGCTGTTTTCTCAGTCTCATACAGGCTTTAATAAATGGAGTACATTTTATCTTGTCAACTTTTGGTTCACGTTTCAACATTTTTCTAACGTCTAATTAATTATAAGAATGCATTTGTACTTTGACTAGGCAGGACCAGACTTGGACCACAACAGAACAATGCAATGTTTAGAGACGACTCCGAGCAAACCACGACACACGTAAGGATTTTTTAGGCGAGCTGGTCATGCAAAAAAAGGACTCACAATGCGTATTTACCATTTTGGGTCCAATATGTGCGCGCGTCCTCACTTCTGATGAAACTTTTCTTTACAGGATCAATGCCAGTACTGGTCATATTCAGATTGGACCTATCGTTTCGCAGTCCTCACGCGGATCGTTGTTGTTTGCCACCGAAACACTAACCATGGCAGACCGCATGCTGCCTCCTCCACTGCAGACTCAACAGGCAAGAGAGCGAGCCACAAACAGGGCGACAGCGAACCTGCTCTGTGTACCATTCCAGCCGCTCCTCCAGCCCCATATCCCACCACCTTAGTCTCCCTGGCCTCGGGAGAGCTGCAGGCGCAATGTGTGAGTAAGCCCCGCCCACGTGTTTATTCAGAGGGAGGGGCCGTGAGAAACCCACCAAACACCTAGGCTACAATCATTTATTAATTAAGGCAGTATGGTTTTACAAATGTTATAAATATATATATATATGAACCTGCATATAGAGATATAGAGGACTTTCTCTTTGTATGTCACTGTATGTATTGTCATATGGACAGAGCCTCCAGAATTCAATGAACTGATGTTGCCATAGCCATTTACTTTCCAGAATAAAAGCAAAGGAAAATAAATTGTAAGCACAAACATATCTGTGTTTGAAAAATGTGCTTGACATGCTGCATGGCATTTTTATTATATTCTTCATTTCTCAAGACAACCTATGAATTTATAAAGTTAATCTGGGGGGGATCACAGCAATAACTGGGTAAAATGGAAAATTGTCCCTTTGCTATATCCCAAGTGAAATCTTAGATCTATTTTCCCACAAAGCTGTGTATGCGCCATGAATGATTTAAAGACACAGCAGACCTACTGTGGCCTAAGTTATAAAAAAAAACAAAAAACTAATTAGTGCAGTTAGAGGCTCTGTCACATGAGCTGCCGATACTGTCCAGGCTCACATTAAGTATTTATCCTCCCTTTATAACTCAACTGCCTTCTGCATGGCTCCATTGCTTCACATAAAAAACAGGAGCACCTTTGTACTCTGTCCATCTTTCATTTGAGCGTGTTCTTCTGCCTCACACTGGCCTGTAGCCTGTTATAGTACTGGGAATGAGTCAGCCAACTGTTCATCATTGTGACACAGGAGTGTGCGCTGACAGGTTGGCCACTACAATGAGGGCCCAGTGGTTCAGTCTACAAGCACAGAGGCTGTCTGTAAGGTCACAAGCAATGTCATTGAAATTTGAATAGGATCCAGGCTGATTAAGTCATTTTTCCATGGTATATTTAAAAGTAGTGTCACGTACAGGCACAGCAATATACACCCTCACAAAGATGTCAGCTGTGTGTCCCCAAATAGACTTTGAGTTCATTTGCTTGAAATACTGACCTGTATTAAACATGACACTTAATTAGGACCATTTTAGAACTTTGATTGTGAACAGACATTGATTTGGTGAGTAAGTGCACAGACCATTTGAAAACTACTGCTGTTGATGCCATTAACAACAAATGACTAATGAGTGTTACAGCACCACATGACATTGAAATATTGAATGGTGCATTTTTCCATTTTTACAAAGGTTTACTAGGACATCCATTTTTACCAAAAGTGACCAACAGAATATAAAATTTAAATATACATGCTCAAATACATATTTTTGTTTTACCACAGCACACTAAAAAGGCTGAATTGTAATACATTTTGAAATCAAATTTTCCATTAACACATCTAAGTTGATCCACACTGTCAAAAGTAATGCACTTTTCCAGCATGTCCAAGTTGTGTGTAGAAAAATATAAACACATGGTTAATCACAGTATTGTTCTCTAGGTTCACCACTGACATTTGTGTTCTGTATAGACATCCTGCTTGACTTCCTGTCTCTGTCCTTGCAGTGGCGTAAGTCAGACCCCCATAAACACCAGGGAGACATTGAGAAAAGTGATCACAGTGGACAGCCTTGTCAGAGGGTGGGGCTGACTGTTCGGGAGTATGATGGATCGGGACATTCTAGGGAGGCGCTGGACTGCCTGGCTACGATATTACAGGCCAAACTGTTTACATTATGTTTTGATAACATAAATAAAGTGCAGTGCAAAATATAAATTACACATAGCTCTCCGTATATGGTCTTTAGCCACTGTGTCTAGACAAGAGATTCTGTCGCTACATATCTGTGTGAGAAGTGCAGCCTTGTGCTTTCTCATTTCCTTTTTCCCACTGAGATAGCACGAAAGCACAGACAAGCCTATCTGACGGCCTATCAAAATAATGATGGAAATTACACAAGACAGTTGTATCTAATTTCCTATTCAATAGCTGTTCAGTGACAGCAGTAACAAATTCATCATGATTTGGGGTGATATTTACATTTAATATGACAATACAAAGTCATGTATATGTGATATGTAATGTTTTTGCACTCTGCTCCTTATGGGAAAGCTATGTTTACTTTCAGGACAAACAGACATAAAATCTATGGTACACATCTGCTGTTGACTTTGCCTAACAAGAACAAGGACAAAAACATCCGTCTAAGTTTAGCAACAGTGAGGTTATGTATTATGAGATGTTATAACCATATTATAAAAAGTCATCTTTTATACAGCCCCTCTGTCCTCACAGATGCCTCATCTGCATATTTTCTAGCATGGAACAATTCTCATTTGCTTTTTAATGAAAGATATTCAAATCCTTGGACATATTCAATTAGGAAAGTTTACAATGCATGCTTGCTGTGAAATGTGTTGTAGTGAGAGGGCAATAAAAGGGCATGAACTGACAGTGAGAGTGATCAGGCACAGACAGACCACAGGCAACAGTGTCCAACAGGGGCACATTAAAAACAAGGCACTGGTGCAGCATCAATTGTACAACAAGTGCTTCCATACATTTTATTTCTGCAGCTCTGAACAATCTGTAAAACTCTCTATAAACCCTCGCGCTTTGTCAAGCTCAAGCTTTGTCATCTGTCTGCACAGCCCCTTTCACCAAAAACAAAAGGTGGCTTCAGGGGTGACTAAACATTGACATGCCCATTATTCCAGGCTCTTGAAGAAACTAAATCAATTGGCCAGATAAATGGGAATACTGCTGAAAAAAAGAACAGAGCAACTGATAGTCATTCTCTTTTTAAGGCTTCATACAGTATTTATGTCTGTATTTTTATGAGACAATTTAATGAAAAATAAATAGTAAATAAACAAGTGTGTAACTTATTTTTTTCATATTGTGTCATCAAAGCCATCTTAGCAACGTATATGCACCCAAGCAAATTGCTAAGTAAATGTTGTGAAGATGGCATTCACTGTGCACCTCAGTTAATTGCAAGAAAGTAAATATATAGCAATATCATGATGATGTTAAAGGCACACTATGTAACTTTTCTGGTGGGGGGTCTGCAACCTGCTGGTCTTTATGAAGAAGATGTCACAGTTTTGCCTGGAATGTTGTTGAAAGATAGATAAGTTTAAGGCCAACTGTGGAACATGCCAGGCAAAACTATCACATCTACATGGAGACAAACAGGCAGCAGAAACTGGCAGAAAAGTTACACAGTGCACCCTAAGCCTGTGTATGGAGGCAAGGCTTTCAGATAGGACAGTAGAGATCTGACCGCACCAGAGGCTCTTTGAACTGAATATCTGAGGGGTCACACCTTCAAAGTGCCTGTGTGGTGGGGGTGGAGCATAAAGCTGTACTGGCTGCACTTTATGTCTCATCTTTCTACACATCACATCGACCTTTTCTCGTAGCATTTTATCCCCTTTGTCTTGTGGTTTCATCTTTGTATTCATTTAAATTAAAAACTGCTGTAATTGAGAGGTGTAAAGAGATAAAAGCACTCAAAGCTGTAACTCAAAGCAAATGGTCAGATCAAATATGGTTTCTTAAAGTAACTGTTATTTGAAATGGCTATAAGCTAACAACAACAAAAGGATCAACAAGTTGCAGTTCACCAAACAGGTGAAATAACTCTAAGCCTTATCTTTCAACATTTGTTTTCACTTATGGAAAACCGCAATAAATGATTTCCAGCTAAACATGTTACAATGGTAGGCTATATATAATTTAGTAATGAAGCAACATATATTTATATTTGTGCTTTCTGTCTTCAGAGCTGAGGCTACAGGCTGATGACCCAGACAAGGTTATATGCAAATGAAGAGCTTCTCATGTGAATTTGACCAAATAAACCAAATATAGCCTAAATGTGCTTCAGACTGCACTCTCAAAAAGAATGTCTAAATGATCTATAAATCTACAAAAACTAACCAGACACTTGAAATAACCTCTCCTGATCCATTTTGGGTGGAAATAGCCTCACCAAATGTAATTAGAATTAGGGGAAAGTACGTTTAATGTAACGGAAACTTAATTATTCTCCACTGAATAAAATTAGGTGCCCATCAGTGTGAACAAAATGTCTGCTATCACCATCTGTTGTTGCTATGGTGACAAATTAAGGAGTTAATTTGAATGATGACAAATGTGTGGTGACTTCAGGAAGGCCTTAGTTTGGAGTGTGTGCAAGTGTTTTGTATGTGTGTGCTGGGACAGGTCATTATCATTACAGAAAATTACACAAGTGAAGATAGCACCAATTGAACATGTAACATGGGCAGACTAATATAATCATATTTAGGTTGAAAGATAACGAAGAGGGGATTATTTAAATTGTCACTAATATACAAAACTGAAAACAAAACCGAATAAACACATGTAAGTAAAACAAAAGTGCAGTAAGCTTGGACTATGAAAAACAGATATTGATACCCAGATACCTAATTCATACTGACATGGCACAAAGTGAGTGGTCTTCATCTATATCAGAACTAGTATAAGCCCACATGGTAATAATAGTAATAATATACGTAGTACTATTAGTCATGTTGCAATTTACACTCTATAGGCCTATTATATATATATATATATATATATATATATATATATATATATATATATATATATATATATACATATACACACACACACACCTATACAAACCTATGATGGTAACGGCTGAATTTTATTATAAGCTCTAGTGCAACATTCTGAGAAAACATAGGGAACAACACAGACACCACAACAATCAAGTTAATTTCAAAACCACTTGCACAAAATGACATTTTGAGGAAAACGACGGTTTTATACAGGCTCACAGTATACTTAATACTGAAGAAACTAAAGAGTGTCACAAGTGTTTTTTGATCAGTCCTTGGAGGAAGATGCACTCACTGGGGAACCATATTAAAGCAATGTACTGCCCTGCTTCCTTGTTGACTGACTTCTTTTCTGTGCCCGAAAGAGCTTGGCTTAGTTGACAGGAAGAAAAACATTATGTTGAGTTGGTTACATAAGAGGGTTTTAAAATCATTGTGTTATGTGGTTAGGCTGCAAATCCAAATAAAATCAAATGTGTCAGCAGAAGAGCAACTCAAAGAAAGACCTCAAGGGTGATTTCTTTTATGAAAAGAAAATGAACCATTTTGGCTGTGGTAAAATATAGTAATTTAAATAGATTAAATAACCTGAGGCCTGAGAGTGGAAAATGGTGATGTAATTTATAAAAAAGCCATAAAGAATAATTTCCCTTTCTGTGCATCGACAATGGCTTACGATGTGCATTCCTCACATATTACTAGGACCACTTCCAGGTAAAAACTGAAGAGAAGACATGGTGAAACCTGTCTGACTCTAACAAACTGAAATGCAGCATTCCTCTAACCTAATTCCTACAAAATAATTGCACAGATGAATTTCACAAGTCACATTTACCAGTTATATACATTCAAAACCAGTGGTGACTTGTGAAGCAAACAACTTAACTTCAACTCAATACATTTGCAATTCATTTCACTCTACTAAAGAGAAAGAGACACAGAGATAGGTTCAAAAGGGCAACAGTGCACTAATCACTGCATTTGACCCTGAAAAATGTCCATTCATACAAAACTCTACAGCATGCTAAGCGAATTACCAGGTGTCAAATAGAACAATTCTACCTCTGTGACATAGATGAGGGGGATAGCGCTGTAGTTCTTCCTCATGCCTTCTCCTCCTCAGCCAGTGGTCAAAGTGCATGCCACACCACCACCTCCACACAAAGCTCTGCTCTTCTTTGAACCTTAAGCCTGCCTAGTCATGAGCACACCTTGTGAAATCTATACTTCCTGTGCTGACAGATACTGAATTAGCCTCCAAACACCAAGTCTCTCTGAATTGCTCCACTCCTTGTCGAACACTGGCTTCATACTGAGGCGCAGTCCCTCTTGCACTTCACTGTCTTCCAACTAGTGGGCAAAATACCACCTTAAAAGGCATGAAGGAGTTTTCTGATCCCTATCAGCCACCCTCCACTGGCCCAGGCGCACACTTTGCCACAAAAGCAAAAAGCTCAGCTGCCAGTCATGGGGAAGCAAAGCGAGGTTAGTGAGATGTGTTTGGACAGAAGCTGAGGAGGAGGAGAGGGCTCAAAGGAGTGAATCAGAATAATGTTGAGTTAGCATGTTAAATGCACTCTAGAGAACAACAGTAATGCACACAGCAAGTGTGCATTTATGTGTGGAGCGTGCAGTATTTTATTGTTTGGCCCTTTGTGACCCCAGACCTTGGCACAACAGATGGAAATTAGTCTTTGGCTATAATCTGCTGTGTTTACATTTAGGCTATGTTGTGTATATGTCCCAATCAAATAAATAGATAAAATAAATGTGAGACGGCTGGACATGTCACTCACTTATCAGTGATACAAGCTTATAATGTAAAATCAAAGATGTCTTTTCCATGTGTCTTATGTTTTAAACCATTGGTTCCCAAACTTTTTGTAGTCGCATTACCCTTGACACCAGTTGCGTACTCCATATTTCGATGCACTCAAAGGAAAATGTCTGCACTTGTAACACACTGTAAAATATCTGATAGTTAAAATATTTGCTAATATATTAAAGCATTTGATTCAAACTTAATTCAAATTTAGGCCTGCCTGAGAGATCCAAATCAATCAATCAATGTGTTAACAAATAAAAAGATAAGATAGCAATTTCTGCTTTTCCAAAACACTCCTCACCTACCCCATAGGTCACTCCTTGACATGCACACCTGGGGGTAACCGTACCCTGATTTTGGAGCCACCATTTTAACCTGTTCCTTACAGTTAAGTATATTACAAAATATGAAATGCAATGCAAGTGGTAGTGTATACTTTGATCACCAGGTGATGCAACTTAGTAATTATTTTAATTATGTTATTTCCACAAAAGTCCCAGGGGAACAAACAATGATTCACTGCTTGAACAACTGGGGTGACCTTGAGTGATATGAAACTAGGACTTCCGAAAACATGACCACTTGTTACAGCTTTGGGAATGAGCATATTTGCTATAATCTGACATACTGACACTGTAGGTGTTACAGATGTTCATTACATAACACTACTACTACTACTACTACTACTACTACTACTACTACTACTACTACTACTACTACTACTACTACTACTACTACTACTACTACTACTACTACTACTACTACTACTACTAATAATAATAATAATAATAATAACTATAGTAATAATAATAATGATAAGGAGTTGAAACATGAGGTAGTCTTGTGATGTTATAAGAAGCAGTGGCTACTGAGATATGAATAATCTTGTGGAGCAAGGGGAAAAAACACATAACTGTGTAAAACAATTACTGGAGATTGATGGTGATTCAGAAACAACTGCAAATGCATCTTAACTGTCTCAAGGCAATGTCTCATTCAGAAAAGACAAAAAGCTGCTTTAAGCCACGTCTCAACATCAAGATGACCCTCTTTAGCCTTCCCAGCTGGCATCACTGGCACAGCTGCTGCTTAAGTAAGCTGCTACCATGCAGCATCAACATCACAATAAAAAGACACAAATAAACTATAAACAACAGCAGCAAGCAACACAATAAACTACCCTAAACGAAAAGGGGACCTTGTTTTATTTTAAGTTATATTTTTTTAAATTGTAACCAAAGTTACAGAAAACACGAATCTATAAAAGAGCGCCATCTAGTGGTTATGAAAGGCAGTACATCTGAGTTTGGCGTAAACTTACATGAAAGCGCCTTCGTTTTTCCGCTTCTTCCTCTATGCTGTCCCAAAGAGGAAGTATAGGTGCTATGGTGACCCTCCTCATTTAATACACTCAAAATGCTAAAACAGAAAGGAGAAAGACTTACAGTGTTTTCCACATTTCTGGCAGCAAAACAGTGTGCCCAGTGATCATCAAACAACTTGAGTAGTGGCAATAGATATTAATTAACATGACTATACTGACACCAAAAAAAGAGAAGGTTATACAAACAAGAAAGAAACACATTAAAATCTACTTACACACACACACACTCTTCTTTGTAGCAGTCCTATGCTAGTCTTGAGCACCAGTCCGGTTTGGTGACTGTGTTTGCTGTGAATCACTTTTAACACGTAGTTCTTATCCAATCAGCATGAGGAGACTTCTACACACCTTAATGTGAAATGCTGGTTGCTACAAAGTTTCCTTTAGCTCAGCATAATCCTACATGATTAACACAGAGGTCTGTCACAGACACTGTGGTGTAAGCTTACTGTAACGTATACTGCAAAGCTCATTGCCTGAGGTACTGAGACAAGGTTGGCATTCTGTAAGTTGAAAGACAACTTAGACACTAAAAAAAATCCTCGGAGTCTGAAGACTAAAAATCAAAGTGACAGCTGGAATGCAGACTCTGTCCCTAAGACTATACACATATAGTAATAAAAACACATTTCACTCAAATTGCAATAGATATTTTATTTTGTATGTGAACATTATGGCCATTAATATAAATTACAACATTGAAAAGTGACAATTCCGTCCAGTATCACTGAGGTGTGGCTTTCGGAGGCACCCACTCATGTATCTTCTTGCGTGTCGTTGGGTATGGGACATATTGCTGTGAGGAACCACTCACATTGAACTGATGCACCTCAGCCAGAAACTTCTTAGGCTCAGGTGGGTGTGTGGTGGGGGGATCCTCTGTCATACAGTGCAGCCAACGATGCCTAACATAAGAAACAATGGGATTCTTTTGACTGATCCATTTCAACTAGGGCTGAACGCTTTGGCAAATAATTTATGTCTATCTATATCTATATCGATATAGATATAGATATATAGATATTTGGGAATTATGTCTGTATAATAGGATTCTGTTCAAAGTTCACAAAAAGAACTGAAATATCAACTGATGAAGATGATGTTTCAGATCTAAACTATTAAGCAGAATAAGATAAAATAAACATTACAGCTTTATGGCATCCATTCAGATTTTGATTTCAGTTACTTCAATTAATCTTGCAGCCCTATTGTAAAACATATTGTAATTTATATTACCACTCAGCTGGCACCATGCTCCCATCCACCTCCCATAAAGTGTTCTTTCCATTCATCTCAGTTGTATAGATCACCCAGCGATGACGCCCTTAATAGAGAAAACAGAGATTTTTATTACTTTGGCAAAAATGCATGTATAGAATACAAATGTGCGGGTTTTTTTAATTATTATTCTTAGCATAATGCCAGTAGTATGATTTGCAAAAAAAATTAAAAATTACATAACAGACATAGATGATGTATGTAGATCAATATTTAATATTTTGGTCATTGTAAACTGAAAATCTTCTTAGCTTAATGAGACCTTTGACTTCCTGTTATTCTGAATCAATAAGCTCCATGTTTGCATTTTCATTAATTGGTATTTTTATTTTTCAGTTATTTAACCTTTGCATACAACCTGGAATAAGAAGAGGAGTAGACTGCAACCACCTATTATTTTGGTTATTGATTACTCAGGTGATTATTCTTTTTTTGATTAATTAATTAGTTGTTTAAATTGTGACATTTTGCCAAATTTTACCCATATGAAGGTCAGTGAAGTGAAGCCACTTAATGCCTCCCTGATGGAGTGCATTTACAAATAAAATATGTTCTTAATGAAAAAAACAATGTTTCAACATGCATTTCTATGTGATTACTTCAAACTCCACACGTTTGTTTAGGAAAGGGAGCTGAAATTTTCTGACTCAACTCCGAATAAACCAGTGGTCGAAAATAACTAAGTACAAAGTGAAAACAGTGTTTTGTTATGGGATACTCTTACTTGAGGTTTTTTTTTTGCTCCTGTATCTGCAGGATATATTTTGATCTGTAGTCTAATTTTACAACATAATAATATAATATAAAATAACATAACTGAGTAGCCACTAAAGGAACGCCATTATAACATTGTGAAAAGCTCATGAAAGTTGAAATTGCAAAATGTGTCTGCTTTAAGAAAACTGAACGCTATCTTAATAAAATATATTTGATATGACTGAGGCAGACTGGAAATATGTTCATCTAAATTATTATTTTACTCACCAAAGAAGTAATGCTTCTTGTCTTCATAATATTTGTTCCCATATTTATCCACTCCTATCAGTGCTCCAGTTTTAATATCATTCACTCTGTAAAAAAGATACATTTACATGTGTATGAATGAAATATCATTTAATGCTGAATGAAATCAATGTGCGGATGGTACAATAATGAAATAAGTATATATTTACTAAATAACTTTACTCATTGGGATTAGTTAGCATTACTGCTAAGAGAAGATGGAAGGTCGTAGCCACTTACTCCACTTTTTAAAGTATTTTACCAGGCACCAAATAGTTTAACGATAAATATAAGTTTATTACCTAAAAAACTGCAGCAGAAATCCTTTAACTCCTCCATGACCTCTTATCTGCCCCAAAGCCCTTCTGACGAGGTTAGCATACTCCGCCATTTTTGACGGAACTATTTCGATGACGGACCATTCTGCTTTATAAGGGTCCGCTGAAAACATGGATCCATGGAACATAGAAACCAGACACAAACGTGCACTTGAAACTTGAAAATGTGTAAAAGACGACGAAAATGGCATCATACAATTATCATATTTTATTAAACTGTTACCTGACAGTTTACTCTGGAAAAGGGTTAATTTGTAATTACTGTAAAAATGTTTTACTTTACAACTGTGGAGAAGTCTGGCATCCCCTTGACACGAAATAAAACAGCACCGTTCTGCTATAAATCTCTATAAAGATGTAGTGCAATAGTTGGTAGCCTCATCTATCTCAAACAACCATCCAAAAATGTAAAACATGAAGGCAAATGTGCAATGCTACAGATCAACACACAATTTGTTCTCATTGTTAATAATACAAAAAAGCTCTTAATATTCTGTCAATCATGGTGCATTTTCTTAAGATAAGTCTTTCCATATGATTGCTTTTTTCCACAACAAAATATCAAAATAATTTAACCCTGACTTCCAAAAAGTGGCAACAAAAAACTTCTCCCAAGTTGACATAAATATAGCATTAGTTTGATGCTTTGTTTCTCACTGTAGCTCTTTCATGTACACCGTTAGCAAATGCAAATAATTGACCTGTATACTACATGTTTACATTAATTGCAGCAGTTCCAGTTTTCACCAGGAAGGCAACAAAAGTAAAAGGAAAAAATTTCTAACCCAGAAATCAACCTACACAATAAGATATGCCAAATATTCACAGTAAAAATTTAATCCACAGACAATTCTAAGTGATTTTTGCATTAAAAAATACTTTACTATGGTTAAAAAAGATATTTGGTAAAAACAGATGCCTATAAAATACTAGCTCTTGCTAATAACCTGTAGGCACTTTTTAATGTCTAGTCTTTCTTTGCAGAATTTATGCACACTATTTTGACCGTTCCTGTAATTATCCATGTCAGAAAAAAAAATGTTTTACCCAGGAATAAGCAAACTATAGTGTTTTGTGGCAATTAAAGGCTTATCTTATAACATTAACATAATTTTCCACTATATTGTCTGTTCTTTGACACTTCCACAAACTTTCTTTTGAATATGAATTCATAATCTTATAATCTTTGACCTTCATGTTGACAGAAAGCCATTCTATGGTGCGTAACTTTCTTCATGGCCACATTATGTAGTGTTTCTTCTTTAAGTTCATAGGCTGGAGTCCACCTGAGTTTATTATGGGTTGTCACTTTTTCAAAACTCCTCACGGCTTTTATTCTTCAAGTATCATTGCCTCTTGAAATGCCTCAATCCATCTAAACATAAATCAATAGCACAATTAGCATATTCACAAATAGCACTTTCACTTAGGGCTTAGTTTTCCTGTACTACCTTTGTGCAGTCGGTATGTCATCTGCTTTAAAGATGTAAAATAATGTGTTTTTGTGATACAACTTAAACTGTAACTTCTGTGCAGGTCCACTTTTCTCTTCTCGGAGAAAGAAGCCTAGCAAAGGCTGACTCTCCAATGCGGCGACATCCTGCAATATAGATTGCATTTAAGACAAATATAGCACAGGTAATGGTTTTCTTGCTGTATTGAACAAAACATTTAAATCATTATACCTCACTGGCTGCATAGGTGTAGAGGACTTTATTCTTGATAACAAACCAGAGTCTTTTCCACTGCTTCTTGTTACCTTTAGATCTATTTAAGTAGCCACTCATTGATGAGTTTTCTGTATTAGCTGAAACCTGGGCACAAATACAGGAACTATTACTGAGAAACATGTCTTTTTACACTTAAGATGCACGTTATTATGAAGTAAAACCTCTTTTAGTGCAGCAGGAATCTTTTTCTGTTTCCTAGTGAAGGAAAAAGCTCCAGCTTTGATTGGGGATATTGATGTTGATGCACAACGATCTTCTAAAGGTAATAAATCAAATATTTCTTTCACACATCCACTATACATGGTCTTCATCTTAATTATAAGTCAGTGTGAAACCAACCACTTACTGTTTTCTTGTAGTATAGAAAAACATAGGTCACAAACACGCGCGGGCTGGTTCTTCAAGTACTCCAGATAGTACTTATTAGTGGAGCAGGCCTGGCACACCACCTTTCACACAGAAATACAGTGTGAATTATCTTGGTGTGCATTACAAAGTATTTACTTTTTATGGTGCACACCTTGCCACAGGCTCGGCAGTGATGTCTCCTCCAGGTAAGAGTGAACTCACAGGTACATATCATACACATTGTTGCCCGCAGGTCTGGGATCCAAATGGGAGCTTTTGAACCCAGTGGCGCCCCACTGTCTACAGTTTCGTCAGCCTTAGTACAGATGGAAAAATATATATAGCTTTTGAAACGTTCATTCAAATTAAGAAATAAAGTAAACAGCATTTTATGTATGATATAATACAAAAATTCATTAAACAATTTGTATTGAGTATAAAGTGGTGTTTAACAGAAATGTGTGTTGTACCTCCTGACTACGACTTGATATGAATGTTATTTTCTTCTTGGTGTAATCATTTATTGCTGTGGCAATAGCCTCCAACCACTCATCTCTTTCTGAGGCTGAGCTAAAATATATGAAAAAATTAATTGTAGATAAACAATTAAATTCAAATGACATTTTTTAAAACCAAATTTAACCTTACTTGGCTGACAGTATAAAAGAGCGCTCCACACTCTCAATATTCAGCTCATTCTGATAGGCCTCTTGGCTGGGTTTGCTCACCTACACAACACATGAATTATCTCATTATAGAGTACAAATATAGAGTACAGAGCCATATAGTATCATAATCATCACAATTACAACTTTGTTACACCGTGACATACATGAAGTATTTACCTTCATTCCAGCTAAGGAGAGTATACTGTTCAGTCTGTACTGCCCAGATTGGACTGGTGTGGTATACATTAGGGCATCGTTAAACTAAAAATAAGACATTAGCAAATTATTCGTTTGTTTCATTAAAATGATCAAAATGTGTAGTATAGACATTTTGATCACCAAGAAAAACATTCGTGGCTGCATAACCTTCCGGGAAAGCTTCATCAAAGTTCCCTCTTTTAAAAACACCTGAAGGAGATAGGTTACTTAATTAATAACCGTGGTTTATTTGTCTTTAATAGAAAGACTACAATGCTGATCACTTACCCTTCCTGGTTGTACAATCTCATGCTGACCGTTGAGACTATATTGAATTTGCATCAGCTTCTGAAAGTTATCCTGTGAGAGTTAAGGTTAATGTAGTAGTTAGCCTAAAACTGCACAACATAAACTCAAATCACATCCTTACCCCTTGTTTCATAATGTCATTAGCATGGTTGGCCACTTCTTTCACTATACACAGTGCAGCTGCATTGATATTGATACCATTTTATTAGCTCATGTATTGAAACAAAACTGTGTCAAATGTTGTTAACCCTTTACCTTGAGTGTCTTTGTGATCCTCTGAATCAGCAGAGAGATTCTTCAGGTAATCTGCATAGAAATATATGTCATTATTCAGTCAGTTTTTTTGTTTTGTTTGTTTGTTTGTTTGTTTTTCGGCATAATTTAGCAAATGGGTGATTGCAAAATAAATTGGGCAAACATGCTTAAGATAAAACAGATGATGTGACACACATAAAGTTAAAAGGTTAAGCTACAAAATGAAGACACGGTATAGACAAGGTATAGAAAAAGACTTTACCTGTGAGCAGAAGCTGGTACTGGGGTATACGTTGCACTGGTTTTAACAAGTAGTGTTTCAGAGCTAAATTTGCACATCTTGGACTCATCTATGTAAAAATAAACAAAAAGTCTTCTACACTCTGCCAAAGACCTTTCCCATTTAAACAGTTTTACTGAAAACCCCAAAACCTATTAACATTAAAATTGCAGTGCCCAAACCTCAAACTCTCGAACAACAGCAGCAAATGCTGGGTTTTTCCTGCATTGTTCATCCAACAGAGCCACATTGATGTCAAACTGACGAATGTAGGTAGAGTACATTTTTAGATAAGGGCCCTTTTTAACAAAGATGTCAGACAGTCTCTGATGATCTGTCCTAAAACACATGATAAGAATTAAAAACATATATAATACTGTACCGCAGATTATAATGTAAACCTATTATGTTGATGTTAATGAAGAAATCTAGGTTTACAAAAGCATTGCAATAGTAAAATGTGGTTACCAGTGAGCCACCCTCTCTTCCAGCTCCTTCAGCAGGTCTTTGTTCAGCTCATACAGCTGAGGCAGATAATACAGGATTTGGTTGAGGATGCGCTCATCCATTATAGCCTTGCCATTCTGACGCGTCGCCTGGGCAACAGCATCTCGAAAGTCCTAGAGAAACATTGACCATTAAATCTCATGGCTTACATGACTTGAGAGCAGCCTGTATAGCCAAAGCATTTGTGCTCAGTCAGCTCTTTCACTGTCCACTGATATCTCCACTTGGAAGGATGCCAGTCAAGATCTTTGGCCTTAACTAACTTTATTTCCACTCTAACATTGGATTAACTGCTAAGGGAGAAACCAGTCTTGAAAAAAACATCAATATGTCGTGACAGCTATTGTGTCTCTAGTTTAAAGTTTAATTGTACATTTGTTGAAGCAGTGTATGATATTAAGTACAATTTACAACAATCAAAGCTCTTCTCTTCCTTCTTTACATGTTGTCCTATGAGTATAGCCAAAAATACCTTGTGACCTGCCACTTTTTATACACTATTACATTAACTGTGTATTTCATGGGAGAGTACACATGGGAGAGTGCATTAATCACAGCATGTGTGCCTAAGGAAGCAGCTGTGGTCAAGCATCCACAACTAGTAAGAATGTCATTTGACCTTTTTCTTGACAGACTGGCATACCTCATACTCCCAACACTAACAGAACAATTCTGTCAACCAGACCTGCTTCAGAAACCAAACCATCATCATCCCAGAATGAATAATGAGTTATATCATATATCGCAAAAAATGCAACCCCCCCCACCATTCAAAACTAGCAGTGGGATAATCTGC